CCTATTTTTCCAACAACACAGAGTGAATACACCCATGGACTTCTCCAGATGGAAGAGACAAAATCAAACTTGTGGGAGGGAAGTTTGGAGAAGTTCAGTATGAGCAGTAAACTGCGGAACAGACCATTAATTTTTCATGTGTAGATTCAGGTTGGAGCTGAAGAAAATCAAAACAAGTTCTAGGGCGAAACACCAAGTGCATGCCACAGAGCAGCGAGGGGAGCTGAGCAATGAAGTTCACGAGGAATCCCAAAACTAGACATCAGAGGAAGGACATGACACTTCATCAGACTGGACCAGAAAACACTCATAAAGGTCAACAGACAGACCTGGAACTATTTATAGGCTTTTCTTTTTTTCTTTTTCATGTCTCTCTAGATAAGATAGGGAGGATAAACAGTCCTGAGGAGAAAACAACAGGATCAGTGGTTGGGGGGGGGGGGGGGGAAAAAAAAAGGGGGGGGGGGGGGGGGGGGGGGGGGGGATTGGAGAGGGGAAGGTGGAGAAAAAGAAGGGAGCGCCAACAAACCCAGACATAAGGTTACAACAAGTTATGTAAAATCAATGGTGAGGAGAGCAGAGGATGCCTGGTGGGGCTTAACCATGTGCAATTTAGCTAAGAAGAATTTTTTTAAAAAAAACCTATTTTATTAGCATATAATTCACACATAATACAATTCAATCATTCAACCACATTAAGAAGAGTTGTACAATCATCACCAAAGTCAGTTTTAGAACATTTTATTCAATCTAGTGCTTAGCATTACTGGGAGCAGATTGAAGGCTGAACATGACAATGGGACAGGAGGAAAGTAAAAGGAAATAGTGGAAAGAAGTAGGAGGCAAAGGACATTTACAGAGGTATAAATACAGGTATAAACATACATAAATATATTTATATATAATGATAGGGAAATAGATCCATTTGCATATATTTATATGTTAATTATTAAGGTCAAAGATGGACAGTGGGCCTCTACTCAAGTACTCCCTCAACACAAAAACACTTTGTTCTAATAACCTGGCATTCTGTGATGCTCACCTTCCCGACATGATTGCTGAAGACAAAATGGGAGCATAAGCAAATGTGGTGAAGAAAGCTGATGGTGCCTGGCTATAAAAAAATATAGATCAGGATGAAGCTGTCTTAGCCAGTTCCCTGCTTCAGCTGACCAGGCTCACTTCCTGCAAGACATCCCTGAGGAGAAGCCACATGGACCTACCCCGGTACAGCCCTGGGTGCTGGAGCACCCATGTGGAGACTCCTGCCAGAACTGAGATGTTTGCACATTCACTGATTTGGCTTTCCTCCTGCAGTCATCATCATAGTGTTTGTTTTGTGAGATGGAGGCGGACTTTGTGCATTGGTGTTGGACATATGGGTTAATGGGTTAATGTTGGACTTGTGGGCTTGGGTAGCATTGGGTTGGGATGTTTTCTTGATGTGCACTTACCCTTTATATAAAACTCTCTCTTATACATGAGTTTCTGTGGATTTGTTTCTCTAAAGT